GATGAGGCCTGTGCAGCCCATGCAAATGTGTTCAGGGCCATTTGTGCAGGAAATTCCAGCGACTGAGGTGCCTTAGCATGCTCTAGGAGGTCAGCCGGACTTGGAAAAAAAAATCCCCTTGATGATTAGTTACAAATTGTTTAACTTTGTGAAAGATGGCTCATTTCTGCGAATGCTGCAGAAACTCTCAGCCTTGGAGTTAGATGATAACATTCTGTCAAGTACATAGATTAACTGTGAATATTATAATCACAGTGTATTATAACAATTCATTGAATATACCATTTGGAAGCTTAAACATTGCCTGGGATGCAGATGGAATGCTTAGGATCTTGTATCAGTAGCATTACACACAACACTATAGTATTGTATAGGACTGGTTCAAAAAGACGTTTACAGGTGCTTGAGGGAGTTGATGAATCCAGCAAAAATTCAAGAATTGGATGGATAGAAGAAAAATGAGTAAGATCCTAGGCAGTAGTATCACAGTAGTTTCAACGACAGCTTTAAATTATCAGCTGAAATGTTCATGCTAACACCTCTGAAAGGTTAGATAGGAACTACAGGCTTTCCTCTCATCTTCTCCAACTCTTGGCTAAGATGCAAGAAAACCAGGAACATGAAAAACCTCAATGGAGAAATAAATTCTGAGATTGCTCTTGTTATCTGGACACTACTATCCTCTAAGAAAACCCAGATCCAATAATTTTACTTCAGGAAACAGAAAGAAGATGTGAGTCAAACAATGGCATTGCAATGTAGAGGGTGTGGTGTTGTCTTTTCTGTAGTGCTCTTTCTGTAATGGCAAGAATAACTATGCCTGTGTGACATCAAGGGTATTTTGTACATAATTTTCAGAGTTCTATAGAATGCCTTCAAGGCGATTTGATCAGGAACGGTCCCCATTTGGAGAATCAACAGACTAGCTAAGAGTGAAGTGAGTTTCTGTAGCACCAGCAGTTACTCAAAGCCCATTTCCACCAAGTATTTCCAACAGGTATTTCATCTATAGGATCTTGTATCCAATTAACAGCATCCAGAAATACACTTGGAGCCATTATTTTTTAATGCTAAATATATTCCTTAAGTCATTTATATTTATTAAAAAAAACTGTCACAAATTAAATAAAACCATATATATGCTCATGACATAATACGCTATTTATTAAATAGTTGCTTTGGATTATAATGAAAACACACCAATCTAATTAACTAAGAAATCAAGAGGAGGGAAGAACACATAAAAATATGACAGCCCTCTGTAAAAACTGAATATAATTCATCATAAAACAGATAATTAATCTATCACCAACTTAACAATATATCTTGTGTCATGGGTACAGGACTAGGAAAAAGAAGCGGTCACATGACAGGATGTTCCAGGTGCACAGACAATGATGTGTGCACGGGACAAAAGCTACAAGCATGAAGCTTACCAACAACTTGACTCCAAGTCTTGACTTATAACTTGAGCCTTTTCAAGGGCATATTCTACAGGAAGGCTCACAGGATTATTCACAGAACCACGTTTAATCAATATGTAATTGGATTTTGACAGCAAGACTTTGTGGAGTTTAAGTGTCACTGAAACCACTGCAGCTTAAGGATGCATGTCAGAGATGGATCTCTGCCCCTGAACACCTACCATCCTGACATTCACTGCTTGATCTTACTGTCACACATCTTCTCGCTCCCCACAGATACTAATGATGATCTGCTCAGTCCTGTACTAGTAAAGAACAAGGCAGAGCACTCTTTATTTTTGCCCTGGCAGCAGGTACAGAGATGGTAGGGAGGGCATGAAGCCCCAGCAGGAGAAGCGCATGGGGCAGGGCAGAGGACGACAAGGGTAGCAGTTTAAGAACGGCCAGGTGGGAATGAATGATGCTGGTTCCATGGAGACTACTTCATGGACAGATACTTTGAAATTCATTCGCGAGTCCAGACAGCATCGACATTCTTACAAACATCCCACCTTGTTTTTTGAGCTCAGTTCTGAATAGGCAACAATAGCTACTGATCAAAGCACAGCTGTTCACATCCATGGATTTGCCACCTTGAATTTCAGAGATCCTTACACCAGGAACATCCCATGAAAGCCACTGCCTTCTATTGGTAGCACCAGGAGAAACTGCTAAAGTTTTGCAGCTGTATTTATTGATTTTATTCTTTTCTCTCACTCCTTGCACACACACATCCACCCCTCACATCACACAGAACACAGGAGCCAGAGTAGCCTGTCTCAATTCAAGCCTACCATCCCAGTTGGAACTACCCAACATTTTTCAATTTATTGGTTTAAAATCCCAATTGTTAAGTGAGGACTGGCAAGGCCCACACTTTCTGGTGCCTCTAACATTTCCCACTTCTATCCTCTGCTGTTTTACCCCAATCACAGTCTTCCTTTGGTTCTCATCTACAAACTTGTTAAACTTATTAGCCCATCTCCTCAGAATAGTCAACAAAAACCTCTGCAAGCCTCATCATATTCCAAGTTCTGCTCAACTGTCACTTCTTTATAATTATGCAATCTAAAGGTGTCTCCGCCTTACTTTCTAACACATCACCCACTTCCTTCAGAACACTTAATATCTGATATATTATTAATCTGATGTAATAGCTGACATTATACTATTAATTTGTTTGGTTGTTACTTACAAAGAGCAGAAATCTCTTTTCCTCTTCCCTGAAATTATCAAAATGGAGAAAAGAACTTTTTTCCTAGAATTTCTTCATCGAAATTGTTCTGTTTTATTGTGCAGGTCATTCCCACCCTCCTCTGTCTCCCTGCCACAGGTTTAATAAAATTCACACAGTCAGTTTATATTGCAACTGAGTAACTGTTCTGCATCTTTTGTTCTAATTGATAACATTCAATGTTGCCTGAAGTTTTCAGACTCAGGAAATCAGTGGTAATCATGGGCTTCCCAAGATTTTAAGATATCTTCCTTCCCTACATAGGCACTGTACACCTTCTCACGGCTTCATCTCAGGACCCACACAGCCAGACAAGAGAATCTGAAAGTCACATCTCAACAGCAGTGGCTATCCCAGTGACTTCAAGGACCCTTGCGCCACTACCAGGTGAATGTTGAGAAGTCAAAAAACCATTTTCAAAAACTCTCTGTGAATGAGGTTGAGTTGCAGAACCCCAGATACCTTCATCTGCAGAGTCCAAAGGCCTGCATTCAAATTTCTGTGTCGCCACCTACTAGCAAGCTGACTTTAGAACGCTAGTTATCCTTAACATCAGCTGTTCTGCAGAGACTCCCAGCCCTGTAAAACGGCTTTTGAGAAAGTTATTTTTTACTTTTTTTCTACTTTTCTCTTCTGAAAAACAAGGATAGCACCAATACTTTTACTGAGGGTTATAATATTGGCTAAAACACTGGCCACAACTATTATGATTGCTCAGTAAAATCTTTTGTTTGTCCTTGTATAACTGAAAAAGACCCCAAATTGGTATTATCTAAATCCATGTAAATGACCACACAAATTCTTGAAGGGAAAACTGTATCTACAAAGATATCTTAGAGCAACTAAACAGCAGAAAAAACAGCTGATTTTTATCTCTAGGGAAGTATTTGAGAGCTTCCCAACCACTGGGATTCAAACCCAGCTTCCCACAGAATGAGAGGGAAAGCTAAGCAAGCAGCTCAGGAAGTCATTACTCATCCTCAGACTTTCACAACCACTGACTTCTGACTGAGGTCCATGACAGAAGACATTTCAAAAAGCACTCGAATAGCAATTTCATTTGAACATTTCTATAGAATTGCATTGCTCTCATTGAAGAAATTTTAGTGGTGATTTATCACCATTTTTCTTAAACACACTCCTGCACACACAACACTTGGAAATGAAAAGAATGGCAAGAGCCCTGAAAATTTTCCTCCAAAAAATGGCAGCAGTACTTTAGCAGGCTCAGTACTCTGCTTGATATCACGCCAAGACAGAAGGGACTTGTACCGCTGGAGTGCATGTCCTCTGCAGTCACAGAAACTGACACAACCTCACCTGGCTGTTCACAGGCTAGGTCAGACTAGATCTATTAGAATTTAAGATTTATACATTAACCTGCATCTATGACTCCCCAAATTTAGCTGTTTTACACTAAAGCATTTTAATAGCTCTCTAAGGTTAATATGATCTATTTTGAGCACTTCCCCAGCAATTTAATACCAAGGGGCCAAACTTTACATGAGCAGGCAATTATCATAAACTGTGATTTTTACGTAGATAATAAATTCTCAAAGAACAAACTTTGCTAACGATCTAGAAGCCACTTGATACCAGTGATGTCTTTCTCACAAGTCTTTGATTTGACACAGGTGTCACAGCAACCATTTCAAAATGTGTTAGTAACTCCACATCAGTGTTATTAACTCCTAAGATATTCTATTATCTTAAGTCTTTCAAAACATTATTTCATTAAAATTTCGTTCATTGAGTCAGTACATCAACATTATTATAAAGAATATTTATAACTATTGACCTCTAATGGCATTTCTTCAGGTAAGCAAATACACAGCCCCACCAAAGAAATAAAAATGAAGATACTTGAGGCAAATGCAAGGATGCTACATAAAGCTTAAGGAAAAGTTGACTTACAAGTCAAACGTATTTAAAAAAAAGTTTCAACTCAAGCATATTTTTCACAATATCTTTTTCATAAATTTCTAAAAGACTAATGCACAGATTTCAAAAATATTTTTACACCAAGATAAACCTGCCTCACAATTCAATTTTAATTCCAATTTCCACAAACGTTTGATGTCCACTTGTATAGAAAATGAAAAAACCTGTGAGGACAGGTTTATTATTACCTCACACATATTTACCTTGTAAATTAAGCCTATTCTGAGATCATTTTTTTCAGAAAACTCTTCAGATGGCACTCTTGCAACAAACATTTCAAGCTACGTCCATGGCAAGAGCACACTGGCACCCTGACATTGTGCTTCACAACAACATCAAAGTCGGCACTCTCTGCCACTCACCTCATCGTCTTTGTACCAGGACAAGCTTTCTGCCGTAAGAACGAACCAGTACCCCTTGGAGCCTCCTTTCATGATGCCGATGTTGCTGATGGTGAGCCACCCCTTGCGAATCACCTACGAGAGAGCAGAAGTTAGCAGACATGTTTAGTGTAAGAGAAGCCAACAGACCAAAGGTCTTGGACTAAGTGAAAAACAACATATAAATTGCAATAAAAACAGCACTGCTCCCTGGAAGCTCAGCCGCATTGAGTCGTTCAAGAGAATCTGCCTTCCCAGAGTTCAGATGGCTGGAGGAAAGTGTCTCCCATTTGTGAATGAAGTCAAAATTTCGGACTCAGATGAATGGTGGGGGCAGAGTGACTGAAACACAGGAATGAAATGAGGCAGCCTGATCCTGTGCCAGCCTGTTTATGGCAATGGAGCCACAATTAAAACATGTTTATGTGATTGGATGAACAGTGGTCTCTCTGCCCACTGCTCTTCCCTCCTTCCAGCCTACTGGCCCGGCTCTTTGCCTAGTTTGCAGCTCATTAGAATTCTCAGCAGAGAATGCCCAGCAAATGGTAGAAAAAAAAAATTCAAGCCAACCAATTAGCTCTTTATTAACAGCCTTGAATAAGGCTGATTGAGGGATAAAGCTGAAATAATAAACTAAAATGAAAAGTTTGAGGTTTTGTTTTTAATTGCCTTGATTTGTCCATCCACTTCTGTTTGCTATTTGCCATACCAGAAAACATGTAGCATCTTCATAAAGATCTTTAAATAGTCTTTTAAATTTTTTCACAAAAGAAACTTGGATTATAGATTTGACAGAAATTATTTATAAGTGGTATTTAAAATAAATTGCAAATTTTTCCTCACAGTTGCAAAGTTACACTCTGCTTCCCATATGGTACATTTACCATGTCCTCTACGATACATAATTTTGTTGTCATAGAATCAGGAGTGAAATACCACATGAAATTGTATGATGTTATTTTAAACATCAAAAAATACTATATACCAAAATCAGCCAACATCTTACAGATCTTAAAATAATAAACACTATTTATTGCATGACTAATGAGTGTTTTAGGTCAGTGCAAGATTAAAAAATACTCTAAAAATCAAATTTCATTTTTGTATTGCTATTGTTTTCTAGCAGCAGAGGAAGATCAAGTCTAGAGAAAATTATGAAATAAGTCACAATCATTACTGATCTCCCTAGGCCCTCTTCGCATCTCTTCCCTGTCACCTTGGGCCCTGGTTATCACCACCACGGGAAGCCCACTGCTCCGGAAAGCACTCTTCTTTTCACAGAGCCCCACAAAACATCTACTTCAGGTCCAGAAGATGTTTTACTACACTGTTTAGAATTGCCTTTTCTTCTTTCTCTCTACATAGAAGAAAAAAAATTTCTCAAAGTATGTTCTAGCAGTCATAGTAGAGGTTCAGAGATTCCTGGGTTACCTATCAATTCAAATGAATATTCAAGTGGGTCTGAAGCATACATATGAAATTCAGAAGTCCAAATTGTAACATATTCCCAACATGACTCTTGAAGTAAAAGAGCAATGAATGTACAAATACAATCACAATTTCATTTTCCTAAAAAAAATTCATTTTCCATAGAGCAAATGGTGCTGTGTAATTTTCAGCGAGAAGTAACTGATTAAATTATTTCACACTAAGATTATTATCCACCCAAACACAGCTTGACAAATCACCTGAATCAAAGCACAAATCAAAGCAGACTGCAGGTTAAGGATTCCTCACTTCAAATTCTCAGGACAGAAATATTTCAGTGTTTTACATTTTGCAATATGAAAATACACTTTCCTGACTAAACATTATTAATCTGAAAATCCAAAACACAAAATGTTATAAAATCTGAAACTTTTTGTGTGTCATTATTTCATTTTTATAATATATGTTTGCATAATAAAGAAGTATTCCAGAAGGTGTAGAAATCGCATAAGTAAATTACAATTTTGCCATCAAGCAGAACTGTGAATTTTGCACAAAGAATATTTCTCAAGAATCTACCATATGGGCCCAGCATAATAGCTTAGTGACTAAAACTTTGCCTTGTATGCACTGGGATCCCTTATGGGAACCAGTCCATGTCCTGGCTGCTCCACTTCCCTTCCAGCTCCCTGCCTGTGGTCCTAGAAAGCAGAGGAGCCCGGCCCAAAGCCTTGGGACCCTGCACCAGTGTGGGAAACCTAGAGGAGGCTCCTGGCTCCTGGCTTCAGATCAGCTCAGCTCCCAATGTTGCAGCCATTCAGGGAGTGAACCAGCAGATGGAAGATCTTCCTCTCTGTCCATCCTTCTGTGTAAATCTGCCCTTCCAAAAATAAAATAATTAAAATCTTAAACAAAAGATGTAAAGATGAAAAAATATACTGAAGTCACAATCATTTCCTTAAGAATATCACAATATGAGGGAAAAGCAGATTCACAGAGATACAATTCAATATAAAAGTATGCCAAGAGAAACATGCCAAGAGGAGGTGCGCTGGCTATGACTCAGGAAGTTAGGACAGAACTGTATCTCAGAAAAGCCTAAAGGGGAGTAGAATTAGGTTAAGTAAGTTGTCTGCCTGGTGATTTACTTGTTTTCCACAAATAAGAATAAAAAATAATAAAGTATGAAGGAGCCACTTTGCAGAAAATGTGAGGTGAGGATGAAGATGTTGAGACTGGGGAAAGATATGGGATAAAGATGGGATGGATCCAGTCCAGTGAAACCCACAATTTTTCTAGTCTTACTCCGATAGCAGCATGAAAACTAACTTTAAGTTCATACCCCTAATGCATGCATATTAGCTTTAAAATTGTATATATCACACGTGTCAGTTAACTGTATACATCAAAAAGTAAAAGGGGAAATGTGAACATTCCTCATATATGTGTGTGTGTATACATATAGTATTTATATATAGTATGTTTGGCTTTTAAAAAGTTTGTGAGAGAAACACATATGTCACTGGCAGTTAAAACTCTTGAGCAAAACAGCAGTGTCTAATAGACAAAGTTGGGGAAAAATAACATTTTAGAGGTGACTATAGAAGAATCTAAAAGAAATGCCAAGGCGATAAAAGCAATAAGGTTGTTAAAGCCAAAGGCAATAAATGTCTAGAAGAAAATGTAACAGTGGGGACAGTTAACAACTGACTGGGGAGGCCAGGCGCCATAGCCTTCTGGTTAAAGGCCTTGCTTTGCACATGCCAGGATCCCATATGGACACTGGTTCACATCCTGGAGGCCCCACTTCCCATCCAGCTCCCTGCCTTTGGCCTAGGAAAGCAGTCAAGAACGAGCCAAAGCCTTGGGACCCTGCACCTGCGTGGGAGACCCGGAGGAACCTCCTGGCTTTGGATTGGCTCAGCTCCAGCCATTGTGGTCACTTGGGGAGTGAACCAGCAGACAGAAGATCTTTCTCTCTGTCTCTCTTCCTCTGAGTATATCTGAATTTCCACTAAAAACAAATAAAGTTAAAAAAAAAACTGACTAGAGAACAGGGTTAAAGGAAGTGTTTATTCATGGTGGTGTTTGCTTTCAAAAGAGAAGTTGAAAACTTTTGTATGGACACCAATGGAGTTCAAGAGGGAGCTTCAAAAGTTTACAGAAAAAAGAATTAAAAGATCAGTTCATTTTGGTGGGAAGTTTCTTGATATTTATGCATATTTTTAGCTGGAGAGGAAATAATTAGCACAGAATAAAAGATTAGTGATACAAGCAAGATGATACAAGGAAAAATTATGGCAGCAAAGAACACAGGGAACGAGCTGGGAATGACGGGAGAGTGAGGGCAGGGGTACCTCCTCCATGAGTGGGGAGGCTGGGAGAGTGAGGGCAGGGGCATCTCCTCAACGAGTGGGGAGGCTGGGAGAGTGAGGGCAGGGGTACCTCCTCCATGAGTGGGGAGGTTGGGAGAATGAGGGCAGGGGTACCTCCTCCACGAGTGGGGAGGTTGGGAGAGTGAGGGCAGGGGTACCTCCTCCATGAGTGGGGAGGTTGGGAGAGTGAGGGCAGGGGCATCTCCTCCATGAGTGGGGAGGCTGGGAGAGTGAGGGCAGAGGTACCTCCTCCACGAGTGGGGAGGTTGGGAGAGTGAGGGCAGGGGCATCTCCTCCATGAGTGGGGAGGTTTGGAGAGTGAGGGCAGGGCAGGGGTACCTCCTCCATGAGGAAGGCAGTGGTAAGTGGATCTCCCCATTGCTCCTGCTAAAACAGAGACACTAGATTATCTAGATTATCTGCAGTAAAGTGAGGACATGAGAGTAGAAAGAATGATTGGAGATACAATACAGTATCTAGACAGTCTGAAATTGAATGAGATTAAACTAGAATTACTTTTTCAAAAAAGAAGAACCCCCAAAACTTGCAGCAGTAAAATCAACACAGTTGCATTTTGTGGGAGGATTTGGCATACTTGATACAGAAATTGAGGAGCTAAATATGACTTGATCCCAAGTTCTGAATTGCCTTGCCCTAATCATCTGGATGAAAAAGCATGGACGGTTTGGGGCAAGAGGGGAATTATATCATGCAGAGAAGCAAGATCTGGGGCTCTAATAGAAAGGAAGAAAAAGCAAAGACAAAAGCATTACAGTGGTTAGTGGGCAGTGTGTGAGAGAGGCAGATACTACATCAAACTTGTAGAGTTTAAGATGCAAAGAAAAAAACTTCCTGAGTTAACTGGCATCATGCACTTGATATTTAGTTGGAAGATATTATTAAACATCACTTAGTCCAGTGGGTAGAGTCATTCGGGTTATGATAAAATTACAATTGCTACAAATAACTATCTGAAAGACATTTCCAAAAAGTAATTAAAATGGATTCAAGCTTATTCTTGTGACATTCCAGCTATTTGCATTTAAATGGTCTTTTTATTTTGGAGAGAGAAGAGGATTCCAGCTACCATGTTGTGAATACACAGGGCCCACATGCCTTCCTGGCCATCTAAGAGAGCTGGATGCATTCTGTGCTGAATACTCAACAATCAGGCTGCTGTCCTAGAGTCTGAGAGAAGCTGATCCAACACTAGCCATCCTTTTCTACAGGGGAAGTACTGGCCACAAACTGCTTTGCCCAGAGACAATCTGCTCAAAATAGGAACTTAGGAAA